ACAAAGAATTGACGATTTTTCCCTCTACATTTTTATATCATCAACTAACTCTATTTAATATATCCTATGTTTTTTTTTTTTTGAAATAAATTAATTACCTGATGAAAGATTATTTGGAAACTGTGGTTGACATTTAATAATTGCTAAATCATCAGAGAATGGTATATCACCACAAACTAAATCGTATAGAAGTATTCCTAATGACCAAACTGTTTGTGGTAAACCAAAATATCGTCGACATGTAACCCATTCTGGAGCAGCATAACATGAAGTACCTTCAAAATCTGTATAAATTCCATCATGTAATAAAGCACCAGAACCGAAATCAATTAAATATAATTGGCCAGTACGCATATCAACAAGAAAATTTTCATCTTTTATATCTCGATGAAGAACCTGAAATAAAAACAAAATTAAATTTTTTTTTTTTTTCATTTAAATTAAGTGATTTGACTTACTCCACATGCGTGAACATCTTTAAGAATTTGGACAATTTGCTTAAAAAAATCACGTGCTAAACGTTCATCAAGACCACCTGAACGTTCAGATATAAAATCATATAGATCACAACAACGTTCAGGTCGTTCAAGTACAATAACAACTTGATCATTATGTATAAAATATTCAACTAAATGTATAACATTTTTAACTTTAGCTACACGACGTAATAAAACAACTTCAAGTGGTAATTTTCCATCAGGCTAACAGAAAAAAGAAATAGTAATCATTTCTTTATTTATTTCTATCTTACCGTATTTGTTTCACGCATTCGTTTTTTTGCAACAACTTTAATTGCAACTTGCATTCCATCTTTTTTTCGTACACCAGCATAAACCTCTCCAAAACCACCTGATGCAAGTTTATGAGCAATTAAATATCGAGCATGAAGTGGATCAACAGGAGCTAAAAGAGAATATGTACATATATATAAACAAATATGTCATAGATGGAAGTTAACAAGTGTTGCTATCAATCCAATTTCGTTCGATGTACAAAAATAGATACAGTTAAATTGGATAAATGACAGATCATAGGTCTTCTTGATCTCAAACCAACTCGTTCATTTATACTTTATGCCTTATTATACGAAGATAATAAGAAAAAGAACCTGTCGCACAAATGATCTATCCCTGGTATGTATCAGCGTTGATTATATCAATGACAAGCTCTTTAACAAAGGGGATGAGCGGACGTCATAACCTATATCTTTTATCTTTTATTGTTACACTCTTTTACCTATGATAAGATAATACTATGGCACAAAATTGAACTTACTTGAACGTGTTTTACTTGTTGATGTTGTACTAGATTGTTGTTTTTGATGATGATTAGTAGTTGTTTGTTGTTGTTGTGGTTGAGGTTGTTGTTGATGATGATGATGATGAGAACAGGGAGGAAGGACAAGGGTACTCATAATGATAAAAAATGATCGTTTTATTGATGTTGATATTAAAGTTTGTTTTTTTTTTTCTTAATGTTGATTATTTTAAAATAAGAATAGTAAAAATTCGACAAACGAAAACGCTTATCTAAAATGTCAAATACGAAAATGTTTGTTTCATAAACTAAAAAAACGAATAAAACGACCGTGTGTATGCATGTGTGTGTGTTACGATAATGGGAGAGAAGAAAAATTGCAAAATGAATTGTCTTTTCTTTTCTTTTTCTTTTTCTTTCTTTTTTTTTTCTTCTCTTTCTCTCTTTCTCATTTTCTTTTGTCTCTCTTTTGTTATACGCGCGCAATCGGGAGGATATTCTCATCGAAAGCGAGAAAAAAAAAAAAGAAGGAAGAAAACGAGATATCTCTATCCAACAAAAACACAATAACGACGATGCTGCTGCTGTTTACTGCTTACCAACCGACATGACCTGTTCTTCTAACATCGTTCGCGGACAAAAAAAAGAAGAAAAGAAAAGAAAAGAAAAAGAAGAAATAGGAGTGTGTGTGTGTGTGTCCATGAATGAGTTGTGTGCATACAAGCACGGCCGAAAAGAAGAAAAAAGAACGAGAAAAGAGAAGCCAACGTTAGTGCATTGGCAAAAATCCAAGACAAATAGTTGAATGACATTAACGAACAACGATTGCGCTTTGGAGGTCTTTTTTTTTCTCTGCCTTTCTCTCTCATTCTAATTTGGCTCTGAATCAAAAATATATTGACGAATAGTAGGATGTTCTTTCTTTTGAGACAGCGTAGGAGGAGGAGGAAATAGAGTGGTGAGTACATACGTCGTCGTCAGACGTAGATTCCTAATCAAACAATTGGTTTAATTAAAACAAAAGAAAGATAACGAACGAGCGATCAAGCAAATGTCTTTGCCATCATTAGACTAATTCAGTTGTGATAGAGGCGAATGCGTAGTACATAATAAACAATCATTTCTACTTGTGATAGATGCAAAGAATATATATGTATGTATGTATGTATGTATGTATAGATATATATATATGTGAATAAAGAGATACGGTTGTGGTGGAGGAGTGGAGGACGATATGTATGTTGCCTTTTTCGTCTATGCCATATAAATAATAATAAACAGAATGAAACGGACACGTTGTTCAAATTAAAGTTTAAATCAGACACACAAAGAATTGTCTGTCAACTAATTAATGAATGTTTTGTCTGTTATTCATAGACGAAAAATATGTTACTTTTTCAATTAATCTTAAAAAGAAAAGAAGGAATTCTTTGCATACTTCATTGAAATAAAAAAAAAACAATATTTATACAGACGAGAAGAAAAAAGGCAAAAAAAAAAATGTCTTTTTTTTTTTTTGCTTAAAGAATAGAATTCCTACGCGTGAGTAAATATCAATATAAAAATGATTAGTTAAAAAGAAAAATTATTATTATTATTATTACTTTTTCTTTTCAATACAAATAGAAATCATTAACCGACATTCTATTCAAAGAAAAATATCAATTTTAAAAATATATATTCTGTTACTGTTGTGTACTCGTAAAGAATAAAAAAAGAGGAATAAGAACAAAAAATCCAAATAATATCAGCTCTGTCTGTATTTACTTAAGGATATAGTTTGTATGATACTTTAGAATCATAAATGTAACACTAGAAAAAAAAAAAAAAAACTAAACGGAAGTCTACATGATTGCTACTTGTTTCTTTCATTGAAAATAATCACGAGTATAACATTATGATAAAGTACCGGTTGGTGTACACCTTTACATTCGTGTTACATAGTCGACTAATTGAAATAAAGAAAAAAAAAAAAAAAAAACATTATTGATAGTCAATTTTTTTTTTTTATATTAATTTTCAAAAAAAAAAAAAGTATTTCTCGTTACCAGTCAAAAATTTACATAGCAATACAAACAAAAATAATTACTATTTTACTTTTGCGCAAATTATATTGTGTTAGAATATTTTTTTTTTTTCTTGTCTCGTGTTACGAATTTTTCTTTGTACTCTTTAGTATTGTTGCGAAAGTTTCAATCATTTCTATGCGTCAATAATGACTCAATACATACGCCTACAGATTTAGACTCTAATAGATACCATTTCTGATCTATGACACATTGATGACATCTCGATTAAATAAAATTTTCAAAAAAAAAAAAAACAATAGAAAAATGATAATAATTATGCATTTTAATCATATATAAATATGAAGAATATTTGTTCATAGGTAATTTTTCTTAATTCTTATAAATCATATATAGCGACTTAAATTAAAAATAAACCATATGACGTCAAATGCATCTGTCCTTACCCATATGTGCGAAATTCAACGCATATATTCGTCTTAAATAATAGCGTTATCATTATCGGGTGATATACAGTGACCTTGAAATGAATGAGTGCAGCACTATATATATATATATAAGATACTATTTGTACAGATAGATATAATGCGAATAAAACAAAATAGTCTAAATGAATACAAGTGTATCAAAAAAATACCTATGATGTTTTCTCTTCCTAATTGAATATTAATCATTGCTCTATGTATATATTGCTACTAATCTGACTATTGACTAGTTTAATAATAGGCAAAAAAAAAGGACACAAGGTTTATTCATTTAATTGTTAGAACAAAAAAAGAAAACGAGAAATATGCAAATAGTGTCGATGACAGTATTCATATAAGCAGTATATATAAATCAACCTACAAGTTCGATGTCATTATTATTCATAGAACTAAAAATATATAAATGTTTGTCATTTTCCCCCTTTTCTGTTTATTCCCACGTTTGCATGTGATTAACACGTATGTGGGATCAAAAAATAAAATTGGCTGGAAATTACATCAATACATTGAATATCTCATAGAAATGTGAAATATCTCTCTCTCTTTATGTATATGTACATCTGAGAATATAAACAAGTGTTTAATCGGATAACTTTGATGATAAACAATGTATATTTATGTGAATAACATTGATTTAAAGATAGTAGAACATCTATCCAATTTAGTTGAGAGTACATATTAAAAAAAAAAATTGTGTTAAGATGAAATCTGATCTTGTCTTGTGAACAAATGTGATTGACACATAACAGATGGCAACAAGAACTCGTTGTCCGACATTGAAAGCCAACATGTCACTGATCAAGTTGTCTATGTTATTTGATCTTGATAATATATAGATCTAATCTATGTCGTTTTTTTTTTATGCTAGAAAATGTAAACATGAAGTTTGTATGTAATTCCATTTGATAAAATAACAAGAATAACAATACGAAAGGTGAATCTATGGCAACAACTAATGTCTAAGAAACGTTCATTCAGAAATTATTTATGCATGAACAGACTTTTACTTATTCAAGTGTAAAGTCACAAATAATTTTTTGACAATTTTTCCATTAGAAAAATAAATTATAGAATATAATACTCGATAACAACTTGTTACAGATGAATTTGCATTATAATTTTCATGGTAACTGACAAAACAGTTTTTTTGCTATAAAATGATTAGATTGAGAAATCATGAATTGCAACTATTTGATTTTATTTACAATCAAAAAGAAAAAAAAAAAAGAAATTAATCATCTCCATCAATACCACTTTCATTCATAAATGAAAGTAATTGTATTTTAGTCTTTTTTGTTTCATTCGAGTTCCCATGATTACTTTCTTTTTGTGTTGTTGTTGTTGATGGTATTGGATTTTTTCGTTTTGTTGATTTATTTGATGCCATTTCAACTATATCAGATTTGCTAGTTGTGCTAGCACTTTCATCTGATTTTTCTTTTGGTTTACGAAATAATAGACGACCATTAGAATCAATACATTTTTTCTCTTCTTCAGCTAAAAATAAAAAAATAATTATTTGTTGAAATTTTAAAAGTGGGTGCATTTGAATTATTCATCGAACTGGTCTATGCAAATAGGCTTGAAAATATGGCATTCATTTAAAAGAACAAATGGCAACTTTTATGCTAAAAATAGTTTGCAATGATGCCCTGATAAAAATAAAATGTCGCTATTTTTTAGGTCCAAAACGAAAATGAAAAACTACTATTATTATATTTATGCACTTGGATTCTTTTATTTGCCAACCAACTATGTAAAAGATAAAGATAAAAATAAAACCTATTTTTGGAGTATCTATATTCATTGATATTTAAAAAAAAAATATTTTAATAGCATTTCGAAACATCGAATTTTAGAAAGGTTTCAATGTATGATTTTAATAAAAACTATTATCTTGTTTATCAAAATTAAAAGATATTATTTTATATCTTAATACGAATATAAATATATAACAATGAATATATTGTTTGATAAACAGTTTATTTTTCTGACCTTGGGGAAATACAAGGTGAAAAACAGATGTTGTTTTTTTTCTGTAAATTCTAAGACGTAAAATCAATACAATACCTTCTTTTGCTTTTGCTAATTCGATTTCAACTTCTTCTTTACTTAAATCATTTGTATTCAATTGTACAATTTGAGGTTTTTCATCATCTTTTCGATAATCTCCATCACGAGGTTGTTCATCATTATCATTTATTTCATTGATAAGTATTCGACGCTAATATTCAAATATAGCAACATTATCAAAATGAAAAGACTAAAAAAATAAGATGTTATACCTTATCATCAGTTGTTGATGGTGCTTGATATCCAGTACGTTCTTTAAATTGTCGTATAAATGCTGGTTCATCACCTGCGTTATATAAAATTTTTCCTTGTTTATTACCGCCACCACGGCCGCCACCACGGCCGCCAGCAGTTCCACCATATGATCTATTTTGCCTTCCGCCTTGTCTATGTTTCGACATAATTTACAATCAAAAAATAAAGAAAAAATAATATTTATTTATTTGTTCAAATAACAAGATAAAATATAAAAAAATACGTTTCTTTTCTTTTTTTTATTATTTTATTCAATATTATTATTTATTTTAGTGTAGAAATGTTTTTTTTTAAGTCATTAATAGTATTTCTTTTATATTTCACTCGTTGGTTGTAAATCTTTTTATTCCATTCTTGTATTAACTAAAGACAAGTTTTTTTTCTTATATTTGTGTATTATATAAAATAATCATTGGTAGACAAAAGAAAATTTAAGATATTGAACCAGAACAATTTGATAAAATCAATAAGAATATTTGTATATGATATTTTGATATTAAGCTCATTCAAAAGAAAATATCCGCCGTATACGCTTTAATAGCTAAGCATATCCAAACCAGTTCACAGGCCTAAAATTGAGCAAATTTTGACATTTTGTCTTGAAATTTATTCATTAAACAAAGTTTATCAACTCAATAACCTAGAAGTTGAGTAAGAAGTATTGGTAATTTAATAAACGAAATATAAATTAGCAAATTAGCACTCAAATGTGCTGCTCTACTAATCCATAAGAGTAGTTATGTTAAAATGTTTTTCTACGGAGTTGAATTAGACTAATAAGAATTTTGCTTTTCTTTTTAAATTAAATAATTTTTAGATTTTTTTTGAAGTTCCTTCTCATATCATAGATTGATAATGATGAACTTTGATTTATATTATCTTTTTGTAGGTGTAATTGTCGAATGTATGATTCCGTAGTAAGATTAAACCATAGAATTATCCAGATAAGCATTTTAAACAAAAATAATATAAAACCATCTTTTATCTTTCAATGATCATTTAGGTTAAATTGAATGAAATGAAGATTGCATAAAACACTAGAAACTCAATTACCCTTATTCAATATGAAATATCTAATAGCCATATTGAATTTTTTTCTTGAAAAACTGCTGTTGTCCTCATGAGAATGCATATTAGTGTAAATGTAGTCAATAAAACATAAAAAAACCAATTCTGATAATATATAAAAAATTTTTCATATAATGTTGTTGATAACAATTCTCCTGGAATTTGAATAATTGTAGAACTAGAAAAAAGAAAATGATACAAGAATAAATTCTTGAGTTTTTACAATTCAGTTAAGTTAACATTCTAGATAGTTTTCTAACATTTCATATTCTCTTACTGAATGTGATAATTATGATGTATTATTTGATAATGAATGAATAGATAATTTAATCATTGGGATAATCGCAATTGATAAATTCCATTGTAAAAATAGATTCATTAACAAAACTCAAAAAATGCAAATGAAGAATATATCGTTATAATCTTATTTAGTATGTATATATTCTATGAAATCATTTTCTTTTATTTAAGTTTTCGACCTGAGAAAACAGAAAATGCGTTCATATCAGAGATATGTAGAGTAGAGTAAGGGTTAAAGAGTTTTTCTTACAGGAGAACCTACATAAATATCCTACACTTTTTGATCGAGACTGTACTCAGATGATAGGTCATGATAAGTAGTATCCAAGCCTAACATAGTTTCTTTATGAAAATCGAAGTTTTGACTTGAATATAAATAATGAAAACTTCCTGAGTTTTCCTATACAGATATCTTCTCATACGAAGTACTAAAATAACTTTCACAGTGCTCTAATATCGTTAAGAGTGTTATGTGTGCAAAGTTTCAAGCGATAACTTGAAATTCGATTTTCATGATTACCTAAGAAAGACTGGAGGCTTCGGTTAAAAAAAGGCAGTGAAAAATCAATATCTCAAGAATAATACTTCACAGTATTGAACCATCTAAAACGTTGATGTTGCTCATCATAACCTTTCGTCTGAGTACAATCGTGATAAAGAACAAAACAATCCGACACTTGGGATTGTTCTCTCGTCAGTCAAGGTACAGAATACGAGAAAAGACTTACCTTGCATATCTACAATGCATACGAAGTAACAATGTTCTTTTTTTGACCGAGATAAATTAATCCAAAATCAATTATTTTTTTGTTTTTAATATGCCTGTTGGTACAATATATCCTTGAATGTTAATGTTGATTTTGTACAATCATCCAGATTGTCTCCTATGATAAGAAGATAAAAATAGAACAGCTATAATACTAGACAAAAATAAAACACCTTGGAAAATAAATCATATTCTTACCGAATAAAAATGACATTAAAAATAAAGAACAATACACATATATGAAATTCGATATTACTTGTTTATATTTGTAATACGAACAGAAATTCCTTTTACATATGTTGATTAAGATTTCTTTCTTTTTTTTTGTTTTTCATGAAAAAAAAATCAATGAAAGTTTTACAATTGTTGTTTTTTCAATATACATAAATCATAGACAAACAAAAACAGACAGAGATAAAAATGTTTGTACATACAATGGAGATGATGTTTAAACTAATTTCATATACATATTGTCTTTTCTCTGTTTTTTTTATCTAATATAAATTCATTCGTCAAAAAAACGAACGATGAAATTTTGGAAGAAAAATAAAAGAAAATGGATAAATCTTATTTTCATTTGTTTATCGTCTCATAGGTCGTTTAGATGGTATAGGTCCATTATCATTATATCTTGAACCGGAACGTTTCAAATTTGGACGATCTCGATGAGATGATGAACGATTATCATTATGATTACGATCACGAACATTTCGAAATAAACCTTCTTGATGATCCATTGATGATGTATAATTACTACGTGATGATGATGTACTTGGATAATCTCTTGATTGAGATATTGGACGATAGTTAACATCTTGTACATATTGTTCACGTGTCATATATGATGATGGTGATGACATTGAAACATTTGATGAACTTCGATATAAATCATTACGATAAGTAGATGATGATACAGATGCCATTGAATAATCACGTGATGATGTATTATTTCGGTTCGCTACAAATTAAAGGAGTATTTTTCGCTTGATTGTAATAAGGTATAAGAAAATGAATATGAATACTCAAAATTTATTATTTTCTTTCTTTTTTAAATTTTTTATACTTTTTTTTTTTATTGAAATTTTAATATTAGAAAACTGATTTACGTAGGAAAAGAAAAGATTATTAATTATTTGTTTGTTATTTGTATATTGAATAATTGTTATGATATTAATTATATTGAATTAAAATTTGTATTTCTTTTTTTTTTATAATCGAAATAAGACGATGATATTGAAAAAAGTCGATGATATATTTATATTTTTTTTTCTCTCATAAATATATCGAACATCAATCATTGTGAATAAAGATATTAGCATGTACGTCTTAGAAATTAATCATTGTGATAATAAATGATTAATGTCTACTTCAAAGTGATAAAAAAAAACGAATTTTGGTTGTCATGATCATTATTTTGATATATATATATGGTAAAATTAACCGAAAGATTGTAACAGATTGAATGTAATCAAAATAAAACCATATAATTGTTTAATGAACGATAGAAAGGGAAATTGATGTTTGTGCTAACAGCGACGGGTTAATAGAAAAAAAATTGTTTAGAATATCACTTACGTGGTATATCATATCGTTCAGAACGTGTGTCATAATCATTAGTTCGATATATTTCACCACCATATGGATCCTTACGTGCAGATACAGGAGCCAATGGTGGAGGCGTTAGAGATCGATATTCATTACGCATATATACATCATTACTTGTATTTCGAGGTCCATAATCCATTGAACGTTCATTTCGATAAGATGAAACAGGTGGTGGAGGACTATTTCGTCTACAAAACATATTAAAAATTGTCAAAAAGATTTAATTGAAATAAGAATCTACCGATAATTTGAAGGTGATGAAATATATCGATTACGTTCGGAATTAATATGTTGTGATGGAGGCAATGGTAATCCACGATCACGTAAAGGTGATATTGATTGAGTTGATGTATAATATAAAGAATTTGATGGAATAGGACCATTAGAAATAATTGGCTGTTCAGTTAATAATGATGGATATATTTCACGATGATTTGATGATCGATCAAATCTTGATGATGGTGAATGATTATCATAATAATTTGATTGTCCACCATTTGTTCGATTAGATGATGACAAAGAAAAATTTGATGAAGATGGATAATCATCATTATGTTGATAACGATGATGTTTTGATGGACCATTTCGTGATGAAACAGGTCGAGAATTAAGTGAAATACGTGATGAACGATAACTATAACTTTCATTTGGTGAATTTCTTGATGAATAATTACCATTATGATCATTACTATGTGATGGATGTCCACTGGAAACAAAAAAACAAATTTTTCTGATATTTATATTTAAATTAAACAAAAGGCATCTCTCTTACCGATAGTTTCCACGTGTTGAACGATCCGTATGATTATTTCGATTTGTCGAAAAATTATTATGTCGATCACGATATCGACCACGATAACCATCACGTGAACCCTCCATATCTATAGACATTTATATATATAAAATAATAAATCGATCACGAAATATGACAATCAACTAGTGCATATATTATGATGAATGTCTGGAACAGATGTGTTAGAACAAGACCTTTATTCTTTCCTTTCTATGGTTATTAAGAGAAAAGGAGAAAAGAAAATATATAGATAAAAAATATCAAACAATACCAATATTATGATCTTTCTTTATTTTTTGTTGATTGTACAGAAAAGAGACAAATGGATCGCATCGGTGCATAAAGAATAATCAATTTTCTATCCTGTATTAAGGCTATTTTTATAGGAGCTATCAGAAGATATTTTATTCGATATCTACTAACGATAAAACATTTGCGAAGCATATTTTGTACATAAAATATAGTTGATGGTTAGAACAAATTGACGTAGATATATATATATATATATTGCACATGAGTCGACACTTATAATGCTACGATACACAGTGTTGACATATCATGTAAGACTTTTTTAATATATCCTTGAATAATATTTATTAATAGGTCATTACATA